GATTCCAACCAATATCAGACGATTCTGGAGACCAATGTCCAGGAAACAGTGACAAAGCTGAAGCTGCGCCGGAGCTGCATCTTCCAACAAGACAACAACCCTGTTGTCTTGCTCAATATCTACTAAGGCATTCATGCAGGCTCAGTGTTGTCATGATTCGTTAGTTTTCATCTTGGTTTTCCTTGTGTTTCTATGTTCCCCAGTGTGTCTCAGTCCAGCTGCCCCTTATTTGTTTGATTAGTCACCCTCGTGTTTCTCACCAGGTGTTCTCAGTTTGTCCATTAGTTGTCAGTGTATTTAAGTCCTGTCTTGTCTCAGTCTGGTGTCAGATCCTTATTTGCTGTTTGTTGCTCATGTCATGCCAAGTCAAGTTTTGTGTTTTGTTTGCTGCCTTGTCAGCCTTTTCATTTAATAAACATTTTTGCCACTTCACTCAGTCCTGCATCTGGGGTTCATACCAACCTAGCCCACTCATTACAGTAAGCTGGGTTTGTTTATGCATAAAAATAATTAATTATGTTCACAGTAAAAACATTTTTATTGTTGCAGAATAGATTATTTTATTCTCTAACATAACCATGTATGCAGGCTTGCTGACTGAATGAAGGGTGACAATGATCAGATTTGTTTGTCTTTGAAATACTTCTAATGTGATGTCTAAGGTGTTATGTTAGAGACTACATTGAGTTGTAAATAGTTGGTAAAGGTCAAGTGGATTAAGAGTGAAAGATGTGTTCAGGTCTTATTCAAAACACTGGCCTCCATAAGACAACGGACTTTTCAAGCTGTTATAGAAATTTAAATCCGTCTGAACGACCTGCTTTGTAGGTAAAATTATCCTCGAGTTGCTCTTTAATAGAATCCTTCTATTTCTTTTATTAAACTAATAATCAGTGTAGACATTTCATGTTTTTAGTACATCCTGTGTAATGAATAGCTGCCATTTCATGGCTTTCATTTTGCTTGTTTTGTCATCTGACTAAGTAACTTCATTTTTAAGCACCTAAATCAGTCTGAGAAGAAAATGATTGCCACCGATTTCTTCACTGTAAAAATGTTACACTACCAAAGATACTGAAATTTATTTACTTTATAC